CTTGAAGTGCTTGAGCACGTCAAGAAGCAGCTGCGTGCGCCGCTTCTCGTGCTGGCGCCGCCGTGGACGCCGACGCCGCCGCCGCCGACGCCGCCGCCGCCGTCGTCGTCGTCGTCGTCGTCGTCGTCGTCGAGATCCCGCTGCTCATCCGACTCCCTCATCCCTTCTCCCTTCACCACCAGCATCCCTCTTTCCTCCTCCGCCTCTCTCATCCACTCTTCTTCCGCCTTCCCGTGAACGATGGGATGTCCACCATTGCAGCGTGACCTGACCCATGAGACATGCAAGCTCCATTCCCCTCTCCAGTCCCTCCTCCCTCGTCTCTTCCCCCCACATTCCATCCCCCTCCCTCCTGCCTCCCTCATCCATGCTCGGCCGCACGCTAACATTAGGTCGGGCATGTCCTCCTACATGCATAGTTTCGGCGAAAATTTAGAAATAATCAACAAATGCTCCAAAAGAGTAACAAATAGTCGAAAAATCGGCCCCATATTATTGTTGTGTGATTTTTGAGTATTCCTCCTGTAGAGGGACATGCCCGACTCAACGCTAACATTGAATATGGATCAGCGGATCTGGCGCGTGGGCATGGGAAGGCACCGCCGACAATTGAGGCCAGTGCCGCCTCACTTGGCAACAGCGCGCGCTGCCTCGACAAGCCCCCTCCCCTCTCACATGTCATCCCTTCTCTCCCTCACCCCTGCCTAACGCCATGCCTCCCTCGAGCATCGTTTAACTGACCCCCATCCCCATGGGCGTGGTCTGGGCCCTACTGGCCGATTCACCCCCATAGAGGGATACAGGCTCTTTCCTTCGGGCTTCGAGTGGTAGATCAAGGGGTATATCTAGATGAACAAGAAACGACATGAACATAATTCCTCGGAGGTCTGCGCCAGTTTCTTGGATCGGCGCTGCAACCCCCCCTGCCTGGCGCACGGAGCGCGTTAGGGGCGGCGCCGGAGGCGCCGCCAGGGGGGCCCAACGCCGATCCACGAAATCCGCTCGGACCTCCCAGAAATCATGTTTACACCGTTCTTTGTTCTCCGAATCTCATCAACTGGGGTGCTGAGATGTTGGAGTCTGGGGGCATCCCTCCTCGAAATCAAACGCAAAGTTTCCCCACGACACGGCGACGCCCCCAAGGCCCCAATTCCAGTGTTGATGCTGACACTGGCGGTGGCAATTTTTCCCGGAAAGGGCTCGAGCCCAGGGTTCTCTTTTAGCTGTTTCCCCCCGGCCTCGACTTGCGTAGGGCCGGCAAAATGATTCTGCGATAAATAACGAGGTCGCGCAGGGCCGGCGAACTAATATGTTGAGGATGTCCCCAGCGAAACGCTTTTGTATTATTCCGAACAATCAAAAAAGCATGGTAAAATACACATGTTCGTTTGTTGCGGATGTCTCGAGCGAAACGCTTGGTTTGATGAACTTGTTGATGATGTCTCGAGCGAAACGATGTTTTTATGCTTTCGATCGTTCCTCTCCTGGGGACCAGACCTCAAAGGCTATCTCGAGGTGAAATTGTTGTTTTCACGTGCCCGGGTCTTGAGGATGTCTCGAGCTTGGCTTCACGCGTCCAGGTTGCCCAGACGGACAACTAGATTGAGGATGTCTTGAGGATGTCTCGCGCGAGACGCTTGTTTTCATGTGCACAGGTCGCCCAGGCGAATGTCTAGCATGAGGATGTGCTAAGGATCTCGAGAGATACGCTCGTTTTCATGTGTCCAGGTCGCCCAGGCTGATGTCTAGCACGAGGATTTGTTGAGAATGTCTCGGGCGAGGCGCTTGTTCTCACGTGTCCAGGTCGCCCAGGCGGATCTCTAGCATGAGGAGGTGGTGAGAACGTCTCGAGCGAGACGCTTGTGTTCGTGTGCCCAGGTCGCCCAGGCGGATGTCTAAGATGAAGATGGTTTGAGGATGTCTCGGGCGAAACGCTTGTCCTCACGTGTCCAGGTCTCCCAGGCGGATGTCTAACAGAAGGATGTGTTGAGGATGTCTCGAGCGAGACGCTCTGTTCACTTGCCCAGGTCGCCCAGGCGGATGTCTGACGTGAAGATGTTGTTGAGGATGTATCGAGCGAGACGCTTGGTTTCACGTGTCCAGGTCGCCCAGACGGATGTCTAACATGAGGACGGGTTGAGGATGTCTCGCGCGTGACGCTTGTTTTCACGTGTCCAGGCCGCCCAGACGGATGTCTAACATGAGGATGTGTTGAGAATATCGCGAGCGAGACGCTGGTTCTCACGTGTCCAGGTTGCCCAGGCGGAAGTCTAGCATGAGGGGGAATTAAGAGCATCTCGAGCGAGACGCTTGCTTTCGCGCGTCCAGGTCGCCCAGACGGATGTCTAACATGAGGATGTGTTGAGGATGTATCGAGCGAGACGCTTGTTCTCACGTGTTCAGGTCGCCCAGGCGGATGTCTAACAGAAGGATTTGTTGAGGAAGTCTCGAGCGAAACGCTTGTCACAGTAGAGCGCGTCGCAGTCCAACCCCGCCCGTCCGTGGGGCGTCCCCTAGCGCGCTGGCGCGTCCCCTGGCACGTCCCCAGGCACACCACTCGGCGTGGCACGTTCCCTGGCTCGTCCTCTGTCGCGTTTCCTGGCTGGTCCCCAGGCGTTTCCCCTGCCCGTTCCGTGGCGCGCCCCTTGCAACGTCCCTTGGCATTACGTCGTCTGGCCGCCGCATGGCACTCGCCTGGGCACGTCCCGTGGCAGGTCCCTGACACGTCCAGGGCACATCCCCTGAGACGTCCCCTGAGACATCCCCTGGCGCATCCCCTATTGTGCCCCTGGCACACCCTGTGGCGCGGCCGTGAGCCTGTCCCCCATGTCGTGTCGTTCCATTTCGGAGCCGAATCGGATTTTGAGGTCGAGTTGATTGAACGTCCTCCGCTTTTCCACTTCAACTAGCTCTGGGGCAGCTACTATGTGCTCAGACAGCTCGAGCTTAAGATCCAGGTCAGTTCGGTCAGGACTCGGATGCTAAGGAGGACACGATCCACAACGCCATAGAGCACAGTCGCGGCATGGCACATCGCAATTCAGCACGGCACAGCAGAGCACAACCCTCGGCAACGTACATCAAGATCGATACACTCGACATTGCAATTGCCCGTCGCCCAAATCAGGTGTCTTGAAAACGTTGCCATGCCTCACATGTCTGTATTCCTTTCCGGGTTCGTGGGTCGACCATGTTGGTTGACCCCGCGGGCCGCGCTGCGCGCGTCCATCAACACTGCAATGCGGGGGCGAGGGGCTCGGATTAAAACTTGCGTCTGATTTCAAGGAGGGTTGTACATATATATATATATATATATATATATTGGGAGGGGCGCTCCACGCAGATTTCAGGATCTGCGCTGGATCCCCCTCCCTGGCGCGCGGAGCGCGTCATGGGGGGCGCCGGAGGCACCGCCGGGAGGGCCCTGGCGCGGATCCGAGAACTCCGCGCGGAGCGCCAAAAGTTTCTGTTCATGGCGGTTCTTCTCCTTCGATTTGTAGGGGCTGGGGATGGGGACCGGCGTCGGCGAAACGCTGCTGACCGACCGGGCGCGCGCGCGCGCGGACCCGCGCACGCCAGGGAGGGGGCGCGCAGAGCCTCCAGCAGCCCAGCCGCTCTGCGGCGCTCAGCCTGCCGCGGCTCCGGAGGAGGGGGGGGGGCGGGAGAGGATCCTGCTGACCAACAGGCGGGGAGCCAAACGCCAGGCTCCTCCTCCTCCTCCTCCCCTCCTCCCCCTCTCCTCCTGCCCTCCTCCTCCTCCCTCCTCCTCCTCTCCTCTCCTCCTTTCCTCATTCCAGCCCTTTCCCGCCTCTCGCCTCCTCCTCCTCCTCTCCTCTCCCTCCTCCTCCTCCTCCTCCTCCCCCTCCTCCTCCTGCTCCTCCTCCTGCTCCTCCTCCTCTTCCTCCTCCTGCTCCCGAGGATCGGCGAGCGAGCGAGGGGGGGGAGTGAGAACGAGAAGGCCTTCTCAGGAGGCGGCGGGGCTTCTCAGAAGCCCCCGCGCCTTCTGAGAGAAGTGTTCCTGTGTCGCCTCGGAAGGCTTCGAGAAAACTTCTCAGAAGGCCGGAGGCCTTCCGAGCGAGAACACCCGCCCCTCCTCCCTTCGCCCCGAGGCTCGCCGCCGAGAGGAAGAGACCAACACCAGCTGAAGGCGCCACCACATCTAACATGCGCGCTTTCTCTTGTCAAGAGGACCCGCTGCCCGAACGCTTCAGCCCTCCTGAGGAGGAGGAGCCTGACGTTCGTCGCGGAGGAGGAAGGGAGAGACAACACAGCGGATGAAGAGGACCTCCTCCTGCTCCTCATCCACTTTGTCGTCGTCGTCGTCGTCGTCGCCGCCGCCGCCGTCGTCATCGTCATCGTCGTCGTCGTCGTCGTCGTCCTCCCCCTTGTCATGGTCGTCTTCCCCCCTCCTCCTCCTCCGCGTCGTCGTCCTTCTCCCCTTCCGCCTCCTCGTCGCCGTCCTCCTCCTGTTCCGTAGCCATTTTGGCTCCAGGCTCCAGCTCCGCTGCGAAGAACAGAGTGGACACCGCGCTGCTCCTCCGCCAGCTGCAATAAGATTGTGGTGCCCCTCCAGTCGAACTGCGCACTGCCAGAGGTGAGCCATCTTGCATCGAATCCGAGTCCCGTGGCGAATGGCAGGAGCTGCGGCCCGAAAAAACTCAGTCGGCACGCCCAGCGGCGCCGCGCGAATGCTGAGGACTGGTGCTGTCAGTTCTGCACTCATCCAGCGACAAAGGCTCCGTGGTGGAATCGAGCGACTGTCACGGTGCGTAGCACGTGCAGGATCGCCAAGGCAACACCATGTCTCACGGCAAGGCCCAAGCCACAGCCCAGCAGTCGGAAAGCGAACGGTGGAGGCGGGAGAGGTGCTGGTGGCGTGTCTTGCACATCGGACGTTCCCACGTGGGAATCTGCTCGCGAAGCAGCCTGCAAAGGCGAATTTTCGGTTGGCGGTTGCAAATCGACGCATGTGGTCTTGCTACATCGGCGACGGTTTCCCAGAAGATAGCAAAGAAGGTTAGACGAGATCGACAGCACCTCGCGCGCAATCAAAGGACTCACTTTGCAGCATCGCGTGCAGAACTTGAGTCGGAGCAGGCCCGCATCCGAGTCGAGCTGGAGGAGGCAAAGCCGGTGCTGGTCAGGTTGCGAATTCTCGCCTTCCATCCCAGCAAGTTGCAGCAGTGCAACGATGTGCATAAGGAGGGCACCTGTCGCTCGGAAGCCCCTTTCATTGCTAGGAGCCTCCTCCTCTTCCTCCTCCTCCTCCTCGTCTTCGTCGTCGCCCTCCTCCTCCTTCTCCTCCTCCTCCTCCTCCTCCTCCTCTTCGTCGTCTATCGTCATACTCCTCCGCTAGTGCGAGTTCGTGCGAAGGAGATGAGGAGGACGACAGGTGTCTCTTCGAGTGGGTCACCTCCCAGGGCTGCAGTGCGAAGCTCGGCGCAGGTCGAGGCCCAGGCAACCATCTTTTACAGCCAGATGCTCCCTTCCCGTGGTCGAGTGCGTACCAATCGACCTGAGGACAGAAGAATATCCCTCGAAAACACGAGACCCTCCGCCGGCCAAAACACACAAGACATCCAAGGGTATCCTCCCCAAGGCGCACAAGAGCATGTAACAAACACGAAGAGAATCAGGGCACCCTCCCCGACCCCGACATCGATCTCATACCTCGGTCCGACTTGCCTTGAAACCTCCTCCTCATTCCCCTTCCCCCTGCTTGTCGTCGTCGTCCGACCGCGGAGGGGGGGAGCAGGAGGGAGCGTGGCGACGTGCGTGGGCGTGCGTGGGAGGAGGGGGAGGAGGAGGGCGAGAAGAAGCAGGAGGAGGGCAGGGAGGAGGAGGGCGAGGAGGAGAGGCGTGGCGGTCGAGGAGGAGGAGGAGGCGGGCGAGGAAGAGGAGGAGGAGGAGGGCGAGGAGGAGGAGGAGGAGGAGGCAAGGAGGAGGAGGAGGAGGAGGAGGAGGAGGAGGGCGAGGAGGAGGAGGAGGAGGGCGAGGAGGAGGAGGCGGAGGAGGAGGCGGGCCAGGAGGAGGGCGAGCCTGCTCCTGCTCGAGGGCGTCGCGGACCTGCGGGGCGGCACGGGCCGCGAGGGCACGGGCCGCTCGAGGCCGAGCCCAGCACCGAGACGCCGCCACCGCCGCCGCAGTTGCTGCAAGTAGCCGCAAAGTGATAGTAGTATTAGGTCGGGCCTGTCCCCCTACAGGATGACTTTGGACGAAAAATACCAACAAACCAAAAATCTGCAAATACTAAAAAAATGCCCAAAAAATACTCAACTAATAGTCCACAGACTAACTTTCTGCTATTTTTGAATATTCCCCCTGTAGAAGGACAGGCCCGACTTAATAGTAGTACACTCACTCCCGGCCCTCCCTTGGCGGCGCGCACAGGGGGGCCGGGGAGGGGGAAGGTTTCTTAGAAGAAGGCTGCTTCGTGGAAGGCGCCGGCCTCTCATCTGCAGACAGGGCCTGCGCCTTCTAAGCAGCAGGGGTGCCCCCCTCCCCCAGCACCCCGCTCTGCGCGCGGCCAAAACTCCTAGATTTAGGTCGGGCATGTCCTCCTACAGGGGGGTCCTGGAAGAAAACAACTCGAACATAAACAAATATACCCATGGGTCGGAAGAAGTAATTAGGTATAAACATGAAGTAGGAAGGCATTGAAAGCAGATTGGGTTACCGCCCGCCTCCTGAAGAGGAGGGAAGAGGGAGAACCACTCGACTCCTGAAGAGGAGGGAAGAGGGAAAACCACTCGACTCTTGAAGCAGGAAGGCGGCTAAAGCAAACTGGGACCTGTTTTCAGCGACCGAGTGGTGGCAGGAAAATCGTCCCTGGACTACTTATTAACCATGTTCTGAGCGCTCCTCCTGTCGAGGGGCACGCCCGACCCAGTCCTGGAGGCTGAGCCTGCGGCAGGCCCGCGGCATCCTCGCCTTCTCCGCGGGCGCGCTCGCCGCGGCGAGAGAAGGGAGGCGCACAGCTGCGCGGCCTCTGTGCGACGCAGGGGCGCTCGGGGCACACAAACAGATAGACACAGATACCAGGATTCCCCACAGTTCCATTTCTTTTTCCATATTTTCTGTGTTTTCGTCTTCCCCCCCCACCATTTCCCGTATGTTCCCATATTTTCCTGGGAGTCGGGTATGAATTGTGTCTGTGCGTTCCTTTCCCTCCTGACATCTGCGCTGCCCCTGTGACGAAGGGGCTCGGGGCGGGAGGGTGTGCTGCAGCGTCGCTGCTGCGCACCGCAGCGCACCAGCACGCCCCTAAAATAATTACACATACACCCTGCGACACACTTTGCGTGTAGCTTCCGGGAGGGACAGACGTAAAAGGTCGCTGGCTCCCAGTGGTGACTTGTACACCGCCACCCTCCCCTGAGGCCCAGGAACTCTCCAGCGGAGGGTGTCTGTATATTTGTGGCGGAACCAACGTCATCATCACCGTTGGTCCCTCCTCGTCCTCCTCACCGTCTGAGGAGGAGAAGGAGAAGAAAAGGAGGAGGAGGAAAAGGAGGAGGAGGAGGAGGCGGTAAGTAGAGGGGAGGGGGAAGAGAAAGAGGAGGAGTAGGAGGAGGAGGAGAAGCAGGAGGAGGAGGAAGAGGAGGGGAAGGGGGAGGGGAGGGGGAGGGGGATGATGAGAAGGAGGAGGAGGAGGAGGAGGGCGAGGAGGAGGAGTCCCGCCCCCCTCTCGGTCTGACCGTTCGGCTGGAACACGCTGCGAGCGCCGGCGGCGATCTTGGACGCCGCAAGCCGAATGCCGTGCCGAGCTGCGAACGGAGCGTCCGAGCCAGCCCGGCGGGTTGGAGGCACTGCACAACCGACCGCGGGCGCCTTGCAATCGCTCGGACGTCCATTTCCCGTTCATTTACGAGCGTTTTCTTATTCGGCGTTTCGACATCGGGCGGAAAAGGTGGGGGAGGGGGGGGTTCTGGCTCCGGCTCTGCTTCGTGCGACTGTTTGCATCAGTGCGCCCGATGGGGGAGACTCCACCTGCTCGAAACAGGCGCCAACAAACAGTCAAGATTTACTCCGCGCCCGATCGGCAAAACAATCTGGTTTCGTGCGTGTACTGCTTCGCAAGATGCTCCAGGATGCTCCTCGATGGCCCTCGCCGATAAAAGATCCACGCGTCCGAGCGATGCCAAGACGCCTGGATCTGCGGCCGCTCTGGCGCGCAGCTGCGCCTGCGGCCGATGCGGCCGACGGCACGGGAGCCCCACCAGAGAGAGCGGCGGCAGCGCCCGGCCTGGGCCAGCATCCGGTGCGACTCCTGTCCCGCGAAGGGGGGGGGGGGGGGCCTCCTCCTCTCCTTCTCTCCTCCTCCTCCTCCTCATCTCCCTCCTCCTCTCCTCCTCCTCCTCAGCCTCCTCCTCTCCTCCTCCTCCTCCTCCTCCCCTCTCCTCCTCTCCTCGCCTGCTCCTCCTCCTCCCTTGCTCCTCCTCCTGACTCCTGCTCCTGCTCCTCCTCCTCTCTCCTCCCTCCTCCTCCTCTCCTCCTCCCTCCTCACTCTCCTCCTCCGCCTCCTCCTCCTCCTCCTCCTCCTCCTCCTCCTCCTCCTCCTCCTCCTCCTCCTCCTCCTCCTCCTCCTCCTCCTCCTCCTCCTCCTCCTCCTCCTCCGCCCTCTCCTCCCAGCGCTGGCCCTCGGCGCATTTCCGTGCCCGCGCCCTCATGGCTGAGCGCGCAGCAGCACAAGCCGAGCCGCCTCGCCGTGCGCTCGCGGCACGAGGGGTTGAGACGAAGCCAGGACGAGGATACAATCGGGCGAGAATGAATCCCCCTGCTCCTCTTCCTGCACCTGCTCCTGCTCCTGCTCCTGCTCCTGCTCCTGCTCCTGCTCCTGCTCCTGCTCCTGCTCCTGCTCCTGCTCCTGCTCCTCCTCCTCCTCCTCTCCTCCTCCTCTCCCTCCTCCTCCCCTCCTCCTCCTCCTCCTCCTCCTCCTCCTCCTCCTCCTCCTCCTCCTCCTCCTCCTCCTCCTCCTCCTCCCCTCCGCCCGTGAGGACCGTCTTTAGGCCTCACCCGTGAGGACCGTCAATAGGCCTCACACCCCGCGCAGTTTCCATCATCTGCGCGGGTCCCCCCCCCACACCTTTACACGAAGGCGTCAGTAGCCACCGGAGGGGGCCAAGGACTCCTCTAGGGACCCTCGGCTAACGAAGACGTCCGTAGAAGAGGGTCCCACACCTTTACAACTTCCCGTGATGGCGTCAATTGCCACCCGCGCTGTTTTCCTCCCTGAGGCCGTGAAGGGGATTTGTTCCCCTGCCGGCTTATTGTGCCTGTCAACTTCAGTTGGCCACCCCCCACCTTTACACCTACCGCCAAGGGGTGCTGAACCTTTTTCATTCCCAATGACGGGTCGACCCTTGCCGCTTCGGCGTCGCCTTTGGGGGTCGGCCCCGCTCCCCACCACCTATCCCGTGCTTATCAAGGACTGGGACGACCCCCAAACCGCAAGGGCATTTTCTCGTCTATGTTCGCTTCGGCGGTCCTGGGTCCCATCCCTGGACCCCTCGCCCCTGTTTTCCGAGCCGTGTCCGGCCGTGGCGGCGTGGCGCTCTGGAAATACTCTCCCACCCTCCGACCGCTTGCCCCCCCCCTCCCCGCTGCCCGCCGCCTGGGGTCCCCCTCCCCCCTCCGTCCTTTCCCCCAGTGCGCAAGGCATACTATGTTTCGGAGTCGAAGCTGTGTATGCAATTTGGGGTCTCTTTTTTTCAGGAATCCCGCTCAGGACCGTCAGCAGGAGCCACCTCGCCGAGAAGCGCGCGCGCGCCCCCTCCTTCTCGCCCCCCTCGGGTGAGGACCGTCTTAGGCCTCACCCATGAGGACCGTCAATAGGCCTCACACCCCGCACAGTTTCCATCATAGGGGCTGCGTGGGTCCCCCCCCACACACACCTTTACATGAAGGCGTCAAGAGCAATCAGAGGGGGCCAAGGACTCCTCTAGGGACCCTCGGCCAACGAAGACGTCCCTAGAGGAGGGTCCAACGTACCTCCACACCTTTACAACTTCCCATGATGGCATCAGTTGCCACCCGTGCTGTTTTCCTCATCCTCCTCCTGCTCCTGTTCCTCCTCCTCCTCCTCCTTCTTCTTCCTTCTTCCGACACCGATGGGAGCATGAACTGCTGCACTGACGAATGACATGCAAAACGAAGCGGCAGCGGCAGCGGCGTCATCCAGCACGGTGCCTGTCCGCCGCGTAGCGGCCCCACCCGTGACCCTCGAAATAAGGATCCTGCACCTGTGGCGGGACCTCGGGGACCTGACCGACTTCCAGCAATTCACAATTACGTACAGTAAGAAGGAGTGCCTGGGCAATAATCTTACACAACTGCGATGGATATTGCTTCGCTGCTGCAGTTCGGAAATCGCCATTCCCTCGGACCCCGACGAGCTCTTCGGGATGAGAGATGTGGGGGCATTTGCCCCCGCCTGGCAACTGAGCAACTAAATCACGAAACGTCGGCACACTCACGCACAACATGGTAGTGGGTTTCTTAGACCGAGCACCACACGTACATTGATCTACATTCAGAAACCTGATGTCAGCACGAGCTCTAAAACCAAACACTGCAACCATCTCAGGGAGGCGCCAGATCGAGGGGAGGTGAGGGGCCTCCGGTTCGAGAGGATGTTCTAAAATACAGGCAGCTCCTACGGCCGCACAAACATACACGACCTGAAGCATCGTCTGCAACAAACGATTGCCGAGCATAACCTGTTTCCACTCAGAAGGCGAGCGGGCCGCCAGGCCCCATAAAAATTCCCTGGACCGCAGGATACGAGGCTTCATACCCCCATTAGGCGGTGGATTCGCACGGCCCTTGGACCAGGTCTCGCATGGGGGCCCTCCAACAGCTCCGAGGGCCTGCCCTGTCCAACATTTCTAATATTTTATCGACCGAGGCTTCTACTGTAAGGTCACCTCGGTCTGGACTATTGGCAACGTCGATAGATAACATTACCACAGGTACTCTAGCGGCCATCTGAAGCATGTCGAAGTGAGCTTGCACGTCGCCTACCCGACGTTGGCCGCTGAAAAGATGCAAGAAAAAACGCACTTCTGACGGCGAATTACAGATCACGGCAGGGGCATCATCGTTCTGCTCCCGTCCGCGCTCGACGCCGTCAGTCGTGGCTCTGGCAATGTTGGCCTCAACTGGGCCTCCCAGCACAGGTCCAATAACGGCAACTGGCGGTGCGGTAGCTGCATTCCTACATTCCCCCCGCCCCCGACCAGCCCTCGCCGCCCGAGCATCTTCCTTCCGCAGCTCCAGCACTCGCTCAACTGGCATGGGCTTCAAATGGTGCGCAAGCACCGTGAGGCATCGGCTCGAGCCGAAGCGGAGGTGGCGGAGCAGCCGCCCTCTGGTGTGCCAATCTTGGCCGCAGGCGTGACAACAGGATCCTAGTGCCAACGCTCCTGCTAGGTCAAACTCTGGATGCGCGAGAGTGCGGTGCCTTCCCCACGCCGCCTTGGTGTTAAACACTTCTTCGCACTCTCTGCACGGAAACACTACATTCTCAACAATTTTTTTGAGGACGGGGGGTACGGGGAGATTGCCACGCTCGCAAATGGCAACCAGCTTAGATTGCCACACAGCAACCTCGCAGCTCGCCAAGTGCTCTGCCATGGCGCCTCTCTCCGCCTCTCTACACCAAGAAGTCCATTTTTTGGGGCAATCACGGGCTACGCCAATCCACCACGGCAAGTCACCGACAGGAGACCACTCGATCGGGATCGTGATCCGATCGTACATCCACCAGATATCTTGCCTCACAAGATACGCCCAACTATTTTTAACACTGACAAGTGCGTCAAGCATGTGCAACAACCCGCCCGATCCGAACCTCAAGACTTTTTCCAAAAACCGAAGCCTCCTGAGGCGCAGAGTGACGAGAGCAGGGAGACGGCGGCATCTGAGGTAAACTTCAGGCGTAGACCAATCACACACATCGTCGAGCTCCTGCCTCCGAAGGCCCACGGCAGCCCTGAGAGAGGCCATAAACGCAGTTTCCAAGTACTTCTGATTACCTGCATTGAGTTTTTGTGCTGGTGGGGCCAAGGGGTGCAGTCGAGACTAGCAGCCAGCGGCCTCGCGCTTAGGGCGCGAACATTGGGCTGACGGGCACCTCCCAGGCGGGGTGAGGAGGAGCAAGAAGGGGGGGCGAGTGCCTCCGTCAGGAAAAACACAAAAGTTCAAAAACGGGAGCGGACCCAGGACCAACCAGCCTCAAGCATCATCCTCCTCCTCGGAACCAGGAAGGACCACCAGGCCCTTAAATTTGTGGTCGAGGGCGAATGCGCCAAAGGGGGTGGGGCGGGGTCCGACTCCCGAGGCCCGAAGCTCGATCCCGCTGCGGGGGTGGCGACCACGCCACAGCTTACGCAGGCGGTCCCACGCCACAGACCCACGCGGGCAGCTTCCGTGGCGATCTTGACCGAGCTTCTGGGTGTTGTGCTCACTATAAGCACCGCATACACTGCAGAACACAAAAGGGCCCACCGTCCAAACGCGGTGGCCAGCTCCAGGTCTGCAGGGGGTGGCCTTCAAAATCTGGATCGTGCTCCCCGATCTCAGGCACCTGATGCACCTGAAGCCACCCTTGGGAAACCAGACGGGGTCATGAGTGCCCTCGGGAGGCGCAGCATCATCCGAGAGCAGAGGGACGATTCGGCGCCCCCTCCGCAGCCCCACCTCGCGACGGGAGGCGGAGGCCAGACTTGGCCCTGCCCCACGGATGGTCCTGGCCAAGTACTTACCTACATACTGGACCAGCCGATGGGAACGGATCACTCGATCCTCGGCCTCCTGATCGGAGGGGTGCATGGCGGTTCCAGCGCGCGCCGTCTCATCAGCAGCCTTATTGCCTAGGCGCCTCCATCGAGCACCATCGTCAAGGTCATCATCGCGCACACGCGCGTGACCCTTGACCTTAATCACAACGACCTCCCCCCCCAAGTCCGACACACGGTCCCGAACCCCCTCCCATAAGTCGGCACAGGCGTGCAACGCACCAGTGGTCTCACAACGTCCCTTACGGAAGCTGGAGACCACCCAATCACAGTCAGAGAGGTACTCATAGGGGCCAAACATTACATTATCAAGATACATCTTGAGAGCAAAGAGTTCGGCAACCTCAGGGCTCTGGTTTAAACCTGGGAGGGGGCCGCACAGCGAGGCCAAGACATCCAGACCGCTCGAATTCACCTGGACAACTCCCCAGCCAGCACGGCGAAGTCTGGGGTCAGAGGCCACAAGCGAACGGCACGAGCCGTCTCCAAAACATGGGCCTTCAAAGGCCCCCGACGGGGGTCGCACGCGCCAGTGAACGAGCAGGTCCATCGTGGGACGAGGAAGCCAGGGCCGAGGGTCAGCCACGAGGCCGCGGCTCCAGAGGGGCCAGTCGGGGTGATTTAATGCACCCTCTCGCAATGAAGGTGGCACTAGGTAGTCGCGACGGAAAGCCCAAGTGCACGCACAGTCCCCCCAACACCAGTGCCCCACGGTCCCAGGAGCCTCACCACAGAGCGAGCACATTGGGCTATCCCTCAGGCCGACACTGTGCAGCCGCTCATCCCCCCAGAACCCGTTGGCCGCAAGACATCGGAGCGTAGCCTTGTGCATGCCAGTCCAGTCGTCATCAGTACGGCTAGACACCAGGGCCTTCAAAGGGGCGAGGTAGGGTCCGTGGGAGAGGGTACTAAGGTAGCTTTCTTCACAGCGGGCCTTGTCAAGGAGCCAAGCCTCGACACCCCACTGCGCAACCATCCTCACTGTGCGGGGGCACTCACGACATAGATCAAGCACTTCACCGTCGGCAGTACACAACTTGCCCACACCCGTTCCAAGAGTCCAACCGATCCTGAAACAAGAAGCCAGCGCAGCCGAAACAGGACCCGTGACCTGGCTCCAGGGTGTCTTGGCCCCTCTGAGGGCCTTGTCCGCGTTGAATAGCATACGGCACAAAATCTCCCGAGGCATCCATGCGTCCCAGAAGGCTTGGGCGAGCATGACAATGGGGTTCACCGTGCAAGGGTACGCGGGGTCGATGGACGCGGTGTCTCCAGGAACCAGAGCCAGGTCTATGGTGAGGGATCTGCGGGCCGTGTGAGGGAACAGGGCCGCCCTCGCAGCCCTCCTGAGGGCCATCACTCCGCTCCACGACCTTCCAGTGACTCCGTCACCCCAGGTCCCAGCAGGGACCAGCCCCATGCTGACCAGCTGTTTGCACTTTCCCCTGGCCCTGCGAAGTGCTCGGATTTTTGCACAGCGCCTTCTGACCTTGCCCAGGCGCCCCAGCCGCGTGCGCATGCCCTGCCGCTTGCCGCAGCTGTAGTCGCAGCCCAGGTTGCGGGTCGACAGGTCGCTGGCCTGCACGAGCGACGGGCAGCGCTTGCCGAGGTCCACGCTGGCCTGGTAGTCATTGCCGATGAGCTTGCCCTTCTTCTCGTTCAGCAGCAGCTCGGCGTCGTGGAGTGCACTCCTCGCCTGGCGGTAAGCCTTGCTGAGCTGCTGCACGACGGTGGGCCGAGTGCCTGTAGCCTGCATCTGGATGTCATCGACCACGTTGCCGACTGAGATGCCAGGCAGGCTCACCAGGTCATCCAAAATGGGAATAAGAAAAATTCGCATCATCAGGTCAGCGAATGAGCATCCTGCTACCACGCCACGCATCGGCGTCATCAGCTCGAATACGATGCCTTCGAAGGATAGCAGCCTGGGCATGGAGTACAGCATGAGCAGTAGCCGTAGCAAGCACATGTTGAAGCCCAGGTCGGTAGCACAGGTCGCCAGACGGTTCCAGCGGATGTACTCATAAGCCTTGGAGAGGTCCAGCAAGATGGAAAGGCAGGTCTTACCACTGTGTGTAGCCCACTCGCCAGCAGCCGCCTGCCTCCATACACAGGCCTCACAGCTCTGACCTTCGGTGCCGAAGATGTAGCTGCGCTTGTTCTTGTCGGCCCACTTCGCGCCCGTGGTGGCCCGCAAGTATCGCGTCAGTGGCCGCACCGTGCCAGGGAAGATGCCAATTGTGCGTCTCCCCCCATCGGGCTTCGGAAGGAGAGCCTCGCGCATGACACGAATCGGGGCCGGGACGTAGCCAAGACGCAGCATCTGAGACCAGAGTTCCAACAAGGTCTGTAGCGCATCATCGCTTAGAAAAATCAGATGTCGAGGGTGGACCACGTCACAGCCCAGCCCTGTGTCCGACTTGAAGGTGTGTGCTCTCTTCCGCAAGTCCTCGATCGACGGGAGCTCGATGTCCCCGACGTCCGTGGGCCAGCGAACGGCTGTGATGCCTTCGCCTTGGCCCCATAGGTCGTGCCATGGTTGAACAGCGTCACGTGCCTCATCCACGAGAGACTTGGCAATGCCAGGTCCAGCCGCTGCATTGGTGCACGCCCAGGGGGCATCCTGCTTGATCCACTTGAAGGCGCGCCGCATGCCGCCATCAGCGGTGGCGTCATGGGACCAGTCCACCCATGCCTTGTACCTGCGGTAGGAGGCCTGGCCAGCAGCACGCTCGGCGCACTTCTCCAGGTCGTGCATCAGGTGGTCGAGGTCTTCTTCGCCCAACTGATCGAGTCGTCGGACGAGGGACCGCCATGCCTCCCACATGTCGGGCCAGCGCGTGGGCTGCGGCAAGGTGAACCGCATAAGCCGCAGCTGCAGCCGACGAAGGCGTAGCTGTCCTTCGGCGCTGGGGTGGCGGCACACCGCGGCACGTCGCCAGCGCCACTCACGAAGCCTCTGGGCAAGCCATTGCCAGTGGCCCTCGCTGGGGTCAGCTGCTCCACGTCCTTTCGCTTGGTTGCGGCAGTGCATCTGCAGGGTCGAGTGTACCAGACGAACGCCGTCGGACCTGCCACGGTACCGCTCAGGCTGCTCGCAGCCGAAGTGCTGGAGCAGCTCGTCCTCGTAGCGCCGCAACCACGCGCTGAAGGCCCCGTCCAGGCTGTCGCGGTCGTGGGCTGCAGCAGCCGCCTCGCTTGCCGCCTGCCAGTCAGGTCCTGGAAGCTGGGGGCCTACCAGTTGGCTCGAAGGGAAGGCCTTGGCCATGTGGGCCTTGCGCACCATGAGCGGGATCTGCGACACGTCCAGCTCGAGTATGACGCCCTTGTGCGGCGTGACCGAGAGGCCGTCGAAGGTGCGAGCACGGCACCCATGCAGGTCGTGCCGCACGAGGAAGTAGTCGATGACCCTGGCGCTCGTGGCCGTGTAGCACGTGGCCTGGTCGGGCGCGACCACCTCGCCCTTCACCGCCTTGGGCCAACGGAGGCAGTTGAGGGACTCGGGCAGGTTCTGCCAGTCGCCGCCCAGGACGCATGGCCTGCCTGCGGCGTGCAATACGCTGCCGATCTGGAAGAGGATGTCGAGGTTCACGTCCTCCAGGTCCTTGCTGGTGTGCAGGTAGAGGCCCGCCAGCACCAGCCCCTCCTTAGGCCCCAGGTCGGTGGTCCAGAAACCCTGACGAGCCGTACCAGCCGCATGGATGCCGTCATGGTCGAACTGCAGGCGTCTGAAGGCGACGTGCGGCCTGACCAGGAGGCCGATACCGCCAGCGGTGCCGTCGCCGTTGCCCGCGCGCCGAGCAGGGTAGAGGTCAGCCTTCCACCCATGGGCCCTGGCGGCCTTCAGCGCCGACTCGATCCTGGCCTCCTCCAGGTGGTGCTCCTGGATGAGCACCGCCTGCACGTCATCGGGGATGCGCTTCTCCTCCAGTTGCGTGAGGAGGGAGCCCCAGCCCGTGACATTGACCGTCATGATCTTGCAGGCCTTGCCACGATGTCTCTGCGAGACCCTGGGCGACGCGGCCCCATCAGGGCCCCCCCCTCCTTCTCTCACGCTAGCCGACCTGCGGCCGACCTGGTCCTCCAGGACCGACGCTGACGGCTCGGCGGCCGTCGCAGCTCTCGGAGAGACGGGGGGGTGATCACTCCGATACCCAAGAGGCCCAAGGGGGCAGCAGTCGGATCACGCTGTGGCTGGGAGCCTGCATCTGATGTCAGCTCCATTCCCACTCTGCAGTAAGACGTGCCCGGCTTGGGGTCGGGCTGCTCCAGCTCGAAGTCCCCGTCGGCGACGTCGTCCAAGCCTGTACGCCCGCCGAAAAGCCGTGGCGCTGCAGCGTGTATGAGGTGCAGGACAGCTGCCCGTGGAGCTCGCAGTCGTAGTACCACCTGAGTCGTCAGGATCGCTGCCCTCGTAGTCGCTGACGGTCGCCGTGTCAGAGCAGCCCGTGTAGGACGAGGCAGACCTGGCCTCCTCTCCAACGGGGCGGCGAGGATCCACTCGAGTATCAAAGAACTCCTGCTCCCTGATCATCGCCTCGGCGTGGAGGGCAAGCTGGTTGTCGTACTCATCGGGGTCGAGGGCCTCGAGGCTCCGTAGCCAGTCGTGGTAGTGGAAGCGCGCTCGCCGCCGAGCACGGAATGCGCGCCTGCAGATGTCGATAGCCATATCAACTGCAGCAATGTGAGGGTTGTCATGCCCATCCTGTTGGGCCTTCTCCATGACCAGCGGCCTCAGAAACGGGCGCGACAGGTAGTTGGCAACGTAGGGCACGCAGTGCCGCCTCCAGTGCATCCCGTCCATATCGTCGTCCAGGACGCGCGGGTCCTCCAACCAGTGCCCCGTGAATCTGCGAAGGGCACGTGCGAGCTCCCGCTGGAGCACGAGTGCTTGTTGCCTAGCAGGGTCCATATCTTTCCAGACGCAGTAATCAGGGCCAGCCACGGCCTGCATGTCATCATACGTCGGACCGTCAAGATAGGTAGCCCCAGTGTTGGTGAAGGAGGTGCCGTCACTCTCGCCGCCTAGGTAGAAGTAGTCGTCGTGGAGTGGACCAGGCGCCCCTGCGGGAGTGGAAGCCGAAAGTGAAGAGGAAGAAAACCACTGCGCGTCGTCGCAGTGCCCCATGTAGTAGTGGCCGTCCCAGACGTGGCACCTCCGAAGAGGTGGATCGCCCACAAGCCCGAGAGCGGCGAGATCTTCGTGACCGTGTAGATGCCGATGGTGGGGGCCGACCCCGTCAAGGACGTCAAAGGGTCGGCCGTGGAGCAGTGGCGGCCCCGCCGCTGCTGCCAGCACCGCGGCCAGCGCCCTTGGCTGCAGCAGCCAGCCGCGCGCGCGCCGCCGCCACCACATCCTTGCCGCCATCGGCGACGAGGCCGCCAGGCTCGGCCGCTGGGCCAGCAGGCGCCGTGGGGCCTCCTGCCTCGCCTGCCGTCTTGGCCCCCGCTGCCGCAGCTGGTGCCGCTGGCTGCGCCACCGCCTCGGCCGCCTCGCCTGAGGTCTTGCGCTTCTTCTGGAGGCGGTCCTTGAGCTCCGAGTGCTGGCGCTCGAGCTCGCGGGCCTCCTTCGCGAACTTGCCGAACGCCTCCTGCGCCATGGCCTTGAACTTGCTCTGGAGATCGGCCTTGCGTCTGGCAGCCTCCTCACGGTCTGATTCCTGAATCTCGTAGTCTTCCAGGGCCTCCAAGCCGAAGAGACCTTCGTCGCCCAGCTCCACGTTGTCACCCTGGAGCAACTTGGCGATGGACAGCTTGCCTGAGAGCGGCGGGCCATCCGTCTGCGGTGTCGCGCCAGCAACCTGCTGCGCCAAGGCCTGCACAGCCGTAGTGTACGCTGCCAGAGCCTCATCGTACTTGGCGGAGCGGGCCACCACCACCGACTTGGCGCTGTCCAACTGGGCCTGGAGCGAGTCAGCATGCTCGACAGCCGTGTCCAAGGCCTCAGCTGCTGCGTCCCTGGCGGCCATGGCCTCGTCCACGGACAAGGGCCGCGCCCGACGGGCACTGCGCAGGCTGTCGAGCTGCTCCTGGTACTTGCGCACTCCGCCCTCGTCCTGCTCCAGGCGGAGCAAGCTGATGAGCTGCACCAGCTTGGCCTCCTCGGGGTCGGCGTCGCAGAAAGCAGCAGCATACTTGACACGGGTGTCAACAGGTAAATCGCTGCTACGGGTGAAAACCGCATTCTTAAGCCCCCCAAGTACCCCCAACTGGGTGTGGTGCCTATGCGCAAGCTCCGCATTCATGGCGCCCGAAGCTTGCACCATAGATCCCAAGTGCCTGCACACGTTAGCAACAAAAACGGAACGCTGGATAGCAGGGACCCACATCTCCCCCTTAAACGCGGCTATCTTCGCTTTAACAACCTTCTTGCCCTCGCCGATAGGGTGGAACATCAGGGTCGATTTGCCCTCCCCGTAGTTGACGACAAACCCCCTCGCCGTCATCACTTGATGCACAGCTGTTACGACAACTTCGGCCAACTTACAGCAGTCTCGTGCCTTGGCACATGCCTGCAGCACTGCAAGATCGTCCACATACGAAGGTGACCCTATGCGGCTGTCCATCTGCTTGTCGCGGCTGGTGAAGGTGCGTCCTACCCGCGGGCACATGTCTTCAACGTTTAAGTCGATACCTTCGGCGAAAAACCTCATCCTCAACTCCTCATGCACGGGGGCAAAAGCGAGGGCAAAAAAGAAATCTGCAGGGGGCATGCCCGGCCTTGCTCCCAACGTCGCTTGTGCAACGGACGTAGCATCTTTTACCTGGAACCAAGTGCTCGAGTTGACATCGGCAACTGCATCTCTCAAGTGCGGGGTACCTACCCTGTCGAACACAGCTGGCTCTGCCAGCAACTGCCTCATCACCCCTTCAAGCGCTAGCGGCAACTGCAGATTGTCGATGACATCCTCCAAGTCCTGCTGTGCCGACGGCAAGGCGGTTAAAAACTCTCGAATGACTGTGTGAAACGCTGCTTTTAGGTCCGTGAAGAAAAGCACCGAAGTATACCCCAGATGCCTAGCAAGGTCCTGGAATGCCCTTACTTGAAGCGATGCACCCGCCGTGCCTCTTCCTGAACGGCCCCCGTGCTGATCACAGTCCAACAGGACCGAAGCAACGTCATGGATTTTGCGCCGTAGGAACTTGTGGTGATGCTTACAGACGTGCACGCCCAACAGGATCTCCCGAAAGTTTTTTAACAACCGAGCATCCCCCTTTTTGTACAAGTCGTGCGCCACCCCGCCCTTCCATGCCAGGGGTTCCCGGCATGCCATCTGTACTTTTAAGACAAGTGGCAGCAGAATCTGTGCACTGAGGTCTGGTGCGGCCTGATACAAATCATTGGTGCACAAATCGTGCCCTGCTGCCCTGCGCCTCGCCGCACACTGGATGTCACACTGCAGCCCCGCTAAAGAATACAAGTCTGCCAGCTCACGATGCCCGCTCGAGTGGAACTGCTGCTGCTGCTCATTATAGCGGGTCACGAGCTCTGGTACTGTACAAATCTTGGCTCTCTCAGTGGTTGCGAAGTGCTCTAAGAGCCCTCGTGCCAGGGCCTCGCGTGACTCGTACGGCTGGCCTTCCTCGTTCACCCTCATATGGGATGCACAGAGACATACTAATACTAAGTGTCCGCCTTGGAGGCGCGCGTCCGACCCGAACATATAGTATACCCATCTTGTAGTATATCGTTTCTCGAGCGGTGTGGCCAGAAAGCGCCCGCCACGACGCATATACTATAAGATTTCTCGGCGCGCGCGTCGCCCCTGGGGGGGCGACGCACATATAGTATAAGTATGTTGGGGTGTTGCCGATCATAGGCAACACGTTTTTGTCCCCAGACTTACGCCCACCCCCAAAGGCAAGCAAACACTTAACTCCAGACCACTCCACACGGCCATCTCCTGAATTAATAGCATCGTTGATTTCGGTGGCCTTTTCCTCCAGGAATCGAGTGCGATCGTTCCGTAGCTCACGGCGAATTACATACTGCGATGATCTCAGGAAAGCTACACAAGCCCCGTGAAACTCCTGAACCCCATGGACTTGATCGACCCACAACCGAGCAGCGAACGTGAGGATGCCGACAGCCGAGTCAAACTCAGGAAGCGCCTCGCGAACAGCTGCCACCTGCGGGTCATCGCGTGCCTCGATGAGCGACGCAGCAAAAAACAGGATAGGCCGAGCGTCTTCCCCTTTAAAGGCACGGAGCACTCCTCGCACGGCCCTCCTGAACCTGATACCCCACAAGGTTTCATCCCGAACATAGCTTTTGGTGGGACCCAGCTTGGTTTTACGAAAGTGACGCTCCGCGCACTCCTGGAAAAACCTCGTGATCATACTGAAATGCTGGTTCACGTCAACTGACCAATGCACGCACGCGCGGCGCAGACTGCAGGTCGCTTCTGAAGGCCTGCTGCTTCTCAGGATCCCGCATGGCTTCCTTGTCCAAGACGGGGCATGCCTTTTTTACGTCAAACTGCTCAGCCCATTGCAACTTCACGTATGCTGGGAAGTGATCTTGATGACTGCGCGCAACATCAAAGTCATGCAGCACTCCATGCTCAATCACATGTCCAAGCCAACACCTCGGCGTGCACACGTAATCGACTCGATGCTTAGCTCCCTGCTTATTGAGCGTGTAAGACGGGGTCGGGAAAGGACCAAAGGTGGAGGGGGCGCCCAAGCCATTAGCAGACAACAAACCATTGAAGAGACCACCGTTGCTGTCCTCCTTGGCTGCCTGATGCGACCCGATAGCTTCTGTTGGATTAGCTCCTACTTTAGCATTGGCATCGAGCAAGAGAATGCCAACCCCGAACTTGGCTACGCTGCGCGCGGTCTCATCCCACCACTGCTTGCGCATCCTGAGCGGGGCCTCTGGACAGAGACCGTGCCCCACCAGCACGACAGTGCGCCAGCATGGAGCATTGATTTTAACAACGAGCAGGCGCGGGCAGGCCTGCACCACAATGCAGTGCCTCGGCTTGAGAAAAACAGGTTTCCCCCCCACTGTGGCGTATGGAACCTTGAGGTTGACCCATAACTCGCATCCAAAATTCTTTCCCTCCTCCGCCCCCGACGCCAGGCAGTAAAAATCGTCGGCAGTGCGACTGCCGCGAGGCGTCCTCGCCTCCTGCACGCCTACGAGCAACGCCGCTGCTTCCTGAAACTGTTGCCTCAACCATTGGCCTCGCAAGACGGTCCTTTCGCCCTTTACCGTATCCTGCGCTGTCTCAGCATTATACGTGACAAGTATCATGGAGCGTTGCACCGCCTTTTGAACTTCTTCGTCGAGCTCTGCATGCAAACATGTGGCAGGCAAGGCGCGCACATATAAGCCAGCTCCATCGCAACACATGTGATGGGGCCGACAAGGCAACGTGAACTCAGCATGGTTCGAAATGGATACTGGTGTTTGTCAGCCTCTGGCAAATCGAGCAACCAGTTCCATTCTAGCTCGGGCGTGTGGTATAGCTGCTGCACTATCCAGGGGGGAGTGCAGTCATACACAAAGTCACGAGTAGACTTGGCCAGATCGTCGGCCATTTCGTTCCAACAATGCTTGTTATGTCCGTAGACATGCAGAATATGAACTGGCACACGGGCGGAAGCAATCTTATATATATATATATATGTCTCGCCAGCGCTCCCAGCTTGGGTTCAGCATGCGGATACTGCTTGCCGAGCGTTATGGCTATGGCCACTTCGCAATCAGAAAATATCGTGACGGGGTAAAGCTCACACTGCTCGCACTGCTGCATGGTATAGCTAGTCACCAAATCAACGACCATCTCAAAGCCACCGTCTCGGCGGTGATCGAACTAACATCTTTTTCGAGCTGCATTCCAATCGTGGCAAAGACGGTCCCGGCCAAAAATCCTAAAAACCGAACGTCTCCTTCTTCATCCAAGCAAGTTGCTACCATTGCCCAACCGCTAAGTCCTCGCTCTGCCGTTAGAGAGCCGTCTGGAAACAAAGCAATGGGACCCAGCGGCACCTCGCTAGGCGCAGCCGCCCCCAGCGCGAACTCCGCCTCCGCCTTGAGCTGGACTTCCCCTACCTCCCTCAAAAGGCAAAGAGGCGGCATTTCACTAATGCATCGAACGATCCGATCGGCACCCGAGAAGTCGCATATGGCATAGCCGTCGACGCCCACCAGCAGCGCCTCTAAACTTATGACTGTTTTTGGTGTAGTGCAGGCCTGACCCGATCCCCCATCCTCGGACAAACCATTACACTCATCAACAACAAACGAGCGAACCTCGGTCTCTCCCCAAGAGACTCGAGTCCTGCTGCGCTCGGCGGAAGCGGAGGCCGCGCTGGGCATGATGCACGTCCCTGGCGGCTCGCAAACGACTTGAAAACTCGGACTGCCAACGCTGACCGTGGACAAGCATAGGCCCCAACCTGTCACGGAGCTCGCGTCCGAAGCGGCGTCGTCTCCCCCCCCCGCCCAAGCTCACCCACGCAGTCCCACCCACCCATATCGCTATCGGCAGATGCGTCAGACGCGCACGGCGAGCATATGATCCAACCTTGCTGCTCCGCAACTGGGCTCCCAGCACTCAGTTGCACGAAGCTCGTGTCTGATACATCTGCATATAGGTCGTCATCAGTATCAGATTCATGCACGCCTGAAGCCCCGGCGTGCCCAGCCATGTATCCAAATGACATGCTGGAATCGAGTGAAACGTTATCGTCCGTCATCTGAGCGCCTGCTGCCTCTGCAACAGGCTGCGTCTGTTCTGCCGAGCTGTCTGCTCCAGCTGACGGTTGAAAGTCGTGCACATCGTTAAAGGCATGCTGCAGTTGCCTGGGCGTGAGCGGATCCTCAAAATGCAAAGAAGATTCCCAGAACAGATTCGCTCGCGTCCTGGCTGCATCCCTCTCGGCAGTGGTTAAAGGCGACACGCCCGACGCCTCGGCCTGCCACTGATCCCGCGTCAGCTGCAGCGCGGCAAGGGCATGTACAATGTGCTCGTGCCACTCGTCTGCGTGCGTGCTATCAACTGGCCTACGCCTCAGACGATTCAACCTGTTAGTGCACACATCACGATCATGCTGTGCCAACGCCCAGGCACGGTCACATATATCGCGAGCTGCTAGCGCGCATGCCTGTGCTGACGTGGCAAGCGGCGCAAAGATGGCACTGGTACGAATTTGCCATGATACCCAGGCAACGCACTCGTCCATCCAACTATCGTACGCTGCATCAATGCCCTGCATGTGGGCCATGGTCGACCACGGTCGGCTCTGGCCTGCAAGTGATCTGGCTAGCACGCTGGCTGCGTGCTCGGCTGCACCCATGCCCAGGTGCGCACTACAAGGTTTACTTGTTGCAAAAAAGGTCGGGAGGATATTCCCGCAGCAAGCCAGGCGGAGAGGTGCCAGCTGTGGCTCCTCCTCATTACCTGCCAACAGGGGCGTCACGGGCACGCCTGCCCAGTCAGTAGTGAACGATCTCCTCGAGGCTGTCGACGGTGCTGCAACTTCCCTGCGCGCATCGTCTTCTGGCTCGAGTCTGGTCGAACTCACGCGCCTCCGTCTGCTGGAGTCGCTGCTGCCGCCGCGGCTGCGGTGCGCGCCTCGGGCACCGAGGCCGCCCCTGCTCTCTTCTCCTTTCTCGGCGGAGAAGCCGTCGTCTTGTCCACCTCGATCATCGTCTTGTCCGCCATCCCGTCGATCCTGCGCACCTCCGCCTGGACTGACGACTCGCACTCGTGCGTGACACTCTCCGTCGGCGCTGGCAAGTAGGGATCGTCGAGCTGAGACGCCGTGGTCATTGGAGCCCATGGCTGCGTCGGCTGTGAGCATTGCGGTCTGTGTATCACTGGTGTCGGCTGGCTGCTCTTCCCCTCGGCGTCGCCTGGCTCCACTGGCGATGTGGGCGAGCAGCTCATCCTTCCACTCTTGGACGGGGCCTTCGGTGACGCCATTGCCGGCTTGGGCTGGCCCATGGGCGTCCCTGGCGCGGCAGTCGCACCTGCTGGCGTAGGCGGCGACCGCTGCGCTGGCGGCGGCGTCGTCTGCACGGGCGTAGGCATCCCCCCAATCGGTGTCCTCGGTACCGCTGCCGCTGGCGTTGCTGGCGATCTCTGCGTAGGCGGCGGTGTAGATTCCACTTCCATGGGCTCCGTCTCTGCTGCTGCGGCTTGCACTGGCGGCTGCGGTGGGAACACGGGCGGCGGCATCTGCGGCACTGCTGCCGCGGCCCCTGGCACGGCCTGGGGCGCCGTCCCACCGCTGGCGCCAGGCGCTGCAACACCCGACGCCGCCGCGGTAAACCCCATCGCCGACATGACCATGCCCATCTGCCTGTCCTGCTGCTCCATGCGCATCATCATTTGCTGCATCATCACCTCGATGGGAGACAACTGCTGCGGCGGCTGGAAACCTGGAGGCGGTGGCGGTGGGATGTGCGACGGCGCTGGACCTGGCGCCATACCCGCTGGCGCACCAAAGCGCCCAGGCGGCTGCTGCAGCCCTTGCCCATGCTGGGCGGCTGCGGCTGCCTGCATCTCCACCTCCTCTTCTTGCCGCTGCACCTCCAGCTCTGCCAGGTAGTCGTCCAGCTTGTTCACTTCGTCGCACAGCTCCTCTTCTTGCGTCTGATATGTGGCGATGCGGGCTCGGGTATTGCTTAACTTGTCGATCGTGGCCTTCTTCTTGGCTCGCATGGCTTCGATATGCTGCCATGTGGGCTGGGTCGAACCCATCATGCACTTGAGCACGCTGAGTTTCTCGTCGAGCTTGGTCGCCTCCCCCTCGTCCGCTGCCCTTCTCGCCGCCATCGCCATCTTCGCATACTCCACCATACGGTTGCGGGTCGCATCCTGAAACTGCTTCTGCGCCATGGGCTCCACTGGCGGCTCGTGGTAGAGCTGGCCGAAGTCTACGGCCTCGGCCTTTGTCATCGGGACGATCCTGGAGATGTATAGTTTCACCTGCTTGTCCACTGGCTGTGGCTTCGGCTTGCGGCTGGCACTGCGGTCCCTTCGATCCCGTCTGTCGCGCTCTGCACGTACATCTGCTGCCACCTGATCCCTTTGTGCATATTGGCGTTGCCCACGGGCGATCGATGCTGACGGCGGCCGAGCTGTCTCCCCTTGGCGCAGACGGTTTTGATGATGACCTCCGCACAAGCAGCGCTGGTGATTCTTGACGTACCGCCCGCATGGGCAGTTCCAATGTCCGAAGTTCGTCATGGCCGAATGGTGCTGCTGGAGCACCTCTGTCGCTCGGAGCACTGCCAACAGGACTCGTGCTCTCGTTCGTCGTCTTCTCAATCTCTTGTGCCAGGATGGCTCCTTGGCTGAAGCAGACTGAGATTGTGTAGGCTTGTGAGATATAAGCTTCGCCGTAATCGCGCGCGCCCCAGTCACCAGCAAAGCAGCTGAAACTGGCCAGGGGCGCGGCGCCTAAGCCCCGAGCTCGCAGGCACTTCGGATGCCTGAGCCCAGAATGGCTTTCCTCCTCCTCCTGCTCCTGCTCCTCTTCCTCCTCCTCCTCCTCCTCCTCCTCCTCCTCCTCCTCCTCGGGGTGAGGATAGATCCAGAATCTCTGTGATCCGGCGGCCCTGGTGGATATCTAGAGCGCCGCGGCCTTCTCAGAGAGTTCTGGAGCGCTCTGAGAGCATTCGGGATCGCTCGGGAACGGCTGTTCTCCTCGTGCTGGCCCCGCCAGAATGATGGGTGAAGATGCCAAGTGTGGCTGGTTGAAAGCATAGCAGAACAGTTCTACCGCAGCTCGGTGGCACACGCTTGTCCTTTATCGTCGCTTCTCTGTGGCAATTTATGTGGCATGGGCAGGATGAGTACCACAATAATGACACATACCAAATATGGCAACTGCAACCTGTGCTCAACTGGACTGGATACGACAACTAAAATGTTACCCGACGGTTGAAATGAGACGCGGCGGGTGGAAAACGGAATGCCTTCGCAAACAACTCACAGTACATAATCAGGTGTGAGCCAGATTGCACATTGAGGTATGATACGGAGGAGGTGAAAGAACACCGGCGTAACAATGATTCTAATGATTGCACCTTGCATGAACAATACTGGCGGAAAAATCCGCACAAACTGTTTGCGTTCACATACTTGCACATCGTACGGAACGTGCATGCCATCCAGAGGTTACAAGAAGGACACATAGCATTGACGCCTGTGACACATGCCAAAAGACCCTTGCGCAAAGAGGGCGGGCACACAAGTAGACCATCGTATCAGTAAGGCACGACACGACTTCAGACATGCAGGCACAAATACACCGTCGACGCTCGTAGCACATGAAACAGCGCTACAATAAAACAACAAAAAACGCGGCACTGCAAGCTCAAGCCAACGCGACCCGAACATTGCAGAAAACACACGTACAACGCAAAAGCATTACACATCGCACCCTAACACATCACACCCCAAACATCAACATCACACCCCAACACATCACATATTCCCAATCAAAACATCACATCCCGCCACTTGGCAATATATTGTCATGTTGCACCGTAGGCTACACGGCATTGAGTTCAATGCGGTGCATATCGGCGCAGCCCCATTGCATCGATTTGTGTGTCACCCTTCCCAGCGTAGGGTACCCAAGGCCCCCCAACGCATCGAGCCCAGAGCGCATTGACATGCTGCTCTAAAGATCCCTCAAGGTCAGGCATGAGAAAGAATCTGCGACTGACATCAAGAGGCGGCGCGCGACGACCACCAGCTGCGCAGCCACCCCGCTGCCACCCCCCCCCAGCCGACGACCCCCTCCCGAAGCAGCTGCGTCGGCGAACATGCGCAGCAGCGCAAGTGAGTAGACACTGGCGAGCGCGCGCACGCTGTCACACAAGCATGGAGCTCTTGGCTGAAAGCCAGGCTCCTCCAGCATGCCCTGCAGGAGCTCCAGCTCCTTGCTCTGCTGGGCGCAGGACGCAACAGACTCCTGATGGATCGCATGCAAGGGCAAGGGACGAGCCGGCACGCGGCCATCGTATTGCATCGGAACTTACCAACGTAACTGATGGTGGTTCTACCGATGCGGTTCCTAGTGCTCGAACTGATCCTAACATGTGCACGAGCACCACTGCTATCATGACCAACCAAACTCCTTATGCTCATTGACATCATCGCCCCCACAGTCACACTTGCCATGGCAGTCTTGATGTGCATGTGAATAAGCCTCAGGCCCATAAAACACCGGGCAACGTGTTGTTAACATGAGGCACAACCTCCTGCACTAGAATCAGCGCTCTTTTGGTGAGCGAACACACTCTGCCCGTCCTGGACTCTAACGCATATAGTACAAGCCAATGGGTGCCTTCGGGCTCGAAACCAACACGCTCGCTGCTGATAGCGCGATCACGGATAGTGCCCGGGTTCATGTGAATGGTGCGCACCTAACCAAAAACTATGCATGCCGCGGGCACTGAATAGAGTGTCGCCATGCCCCTTCGAGCTCTCGATACTGAAAAATGTACAGCATCTTCATGCGCACACGCCCTGAAGCCGTGGATTCATGAGCGTCTTTGTGAGACCTCGGGGCATCGGTCGCGCTGTGTCCCGAGGCCCTGGAGGGTGGCTGTGAGGGCCCCTCGCTTTCAAGACGAGGGCAGGACGAGAAGAAGTCTGGATAGAGAGAACAAGAAAAAACGCCATATACATAAACTGTTGGCGCTCCGCGCGGATGCATGAGCCCTTCTTTGCGTGCACGGGGCACGTTCGCGAGTTGTCCCCGAGGCCCTGGAGGATGGCTGTGAGGACCGCTCGTTTTCAAGACGAGGGCAGGACGAGGGGCAGGACGCGGAGAAGTCTGGACGCATCGGGCGCCGCGGCATGCTCCAGAGCGCTTGGGGACGACGCTCTATGAGAGTTCGGTGGCAACTCATGGGAGCCTCCCATGCCCTTGTCGGCTCTTGCGAATCGGCGCCAATCTACGCTAAATCGATGCTAATCGACGCTAAATCAACGCTGATCGACGCTGACCGACGCGAAATCGGCGCTAGCTCACCGACTCACAGACGCCAATTGGCGCTAAGCGACGCCAAAGACGGAATTAAGAGGGTATACCAAGACCCCATGATTTGCTGCCGAATGAAAGCGCCTCAGAACGCTCTGGAACGATCTGTCATCCTCCCAACAGCTCGCCTGCGCCTCCCTCGTCGCAGGCGGCATGGCTCTGCTGGCCCCAGGCTCGGGCCCGTCTGCGTGTGGCGTCCTCCCCTTTCTCCCTTGCCCTTCCCTTGCCCTGCCCTTCCTACTTCGCTTCCTCCCCTTTCTTCGAGGGCGCGCAAACATGGATTAGCGATCCATGGATTTGGCGCGCGGTCGCCAAATCCATGGATCGTGGAAGGCGCCCTCCCCGAAATGCGGCCGGTGCCGCCTCTCTCGGCGGCAGAAGTCCGCGATTTCCCATGGAAACGGCACCCGTCGCTAATCCACGCTTCCTTAATCCATGTTTGCGACCGCCTGACTTCTCCCTTGCCCTCCCCTATTTGCTCCTCCCCGTTGCCCCCTATGCCTGCTGCCTTCAGTCCGCCCCTGCCCGTCTGCCCTGCCTGCCTTGCCTCGTCCCGCCGGCCCTGGCCTCACGCCCGCCCGTTCGCCGTCCTCTGTCCTGGTATCGTGCCATCCAGGCCTCGGAAGGAAGTGGCGAGCACTCATGCCACATTCACGTGTCGGTGCGCCCCCCCAGTGATCAATGTGTGAATGCCCCCCCCCAATGATAAATGTTGGCGGTGGGCTGGATGAGTTACACTCTGGCCGCACTCTCCTGGCGCGCGCCAATTCTGAGTTTGGGGGCGGGGGAGTGTTCACTAGTTTTTTCCTTCTACCGTCTCTCTCTCTCTCTCTCTGTCGCACTAGGCGGACCTAGAGGGGTGCCCTGCCCCCCGGATGCACAAGAGCATCCAACTGACACGAAGAACACCCGAGTACCCTCCGCGATAGGACCTCGATCGTATACCTCGGTTCGACTGTATCTCTCTCTCTCTCTCTCTCTCTCCTCTCCGCCGCCGTCCAGTATGAATTGCCCTTTATACATCACATCGGGTCCGCACTCCCCACGTGTCTCCCAGGATGGCTCCAGGACGCCGTCTTTGGGGAGCTCTCTCTCTTGGGAGCCTCCTGGGCAGTCTTGAACCCCTGGGGGCCAGCCCAAAACGCCAAACAGACTCAAACACTGGAGGGTGCTTGGTGACGAGTAACGTTCTCACCTTTTCGGCCCTCTTCCTCCAAAGACGACCCAAGAGGCTCCGAAGATCGCCCGAGGACGGCTCCCGAGCCCCCAAGGGTGGCACAAGGCCCCATAAGAGGCCCCCAGAGGCTAACATCAGGTCGGGCATGTCCTCCTACGGGCGGATTCTGGAAGAAAAATAACGAACAGTCCAGAAACAACCAAAAATAGTCAGAAGAGCACGACAAATTGTCCACTGCTTATTTTTTGACTCATCTTGAACTTTCCTCCTGTAGAGCGACATGCCCGACTTAAGGTCAACAAGAGGCCCCAAGGACCCCAGAGGCCCCCAAAATGCCCCCTCGGAGGCCCTCAAGAGTCAAGAGGCCACCCGAAGAAGCCACCAGGAGGCCCCCAAAGCCGCCTCGCGCCCACGACCGGGGCATGCGAGCGGGATGGGCCGAAGACCACTGGATCCGCCACCGTGCCATCAGCACGCAGAGTACCCCAAGGTAGGAAGGAAGGGAACTATGCACATACACCGAGTCTGGCCAGGCCCCATCCTAAGCCTGGGATTGGTGCACGGGCCCCCATGCCTTGGCCAGGAAGGCGTGCACCGATCCTGGGCCCAGGATGGGCCTGGCCAGGATCGGTGCCTGTGCACACTTCACTTCGCCCGACAAGGGTCGTATTGTTGTGAATGTCGTGGAGGGGCTGCAGGATTATCACTGGACAGGACAAGACAGGACGGGACAGGACGCCGAGTGCGCCCAGCGGAAGTTGAGCAGCCCAGCTCATCAGTGGGCGACCGCGGGTTCCGTGCCCGTAGGTTCCCAGCTCTGGACTCTTCGCGCCAAGCTCTGGAATCTTCGCACTCCGCCATGGGGAATCCAAGAAGTACTGATAGCACCGCTACTCCCAGGGCCTCTCCTGGGGTGCGTTCTGACCAGTGTTCCGAGGCGAATCCAGCGGTGGCGACGAGGGCCTCCCAGGAGCCTCGGAAAGGCGAAGAAGAGTCAAGGGCAGCGGTATCGGCGGGTCTCCAGGGTGCACCGCGCGAGCGCTCTGGGAGCTGAGCTCGCCCAGAACGTCCCCGAAAATCCACCACCAGGAAGCGCCCAGGAGACGCACAGAACCAGCCCGGAATCCGCCATGAGCCCCTTGGAGACGATTGGGGCAAGCCCGGCATGCGATGTACTCAGCCACGCTGCCCGTGGGAGCTGGGACTGCTCAGCGAGCATTGAACAGGCAAGGTAGAAGGAAGCGGTGTTGTGTGTAGTGTGCCGCGGGGGGTGGGGGTACAGTCGTTCCGTATCACAAGGATGCGCGATAAGGATGCAAGGGCCTTGGACGCTCATTTCGAAGCTTCTCGAGCGGGGCGCGGCCAACGAGAGTGGCCAACGAAAGTGGACCGATGAGGCAAGGATGCAGGGGTACCCTTGGGAAGGTTGCCCATCCTTGCCACGCGGGCTGACTGTGCTCAAGAGCATGGCGTGTGAAGCTCGCACTATGCCCAGGTGCCCCCGAGAGGCCCCCAGGAGGCCCTCAAGAGGCCCCCCCTCTCGAGAAGGCCCCCCCCCGCGAGGCGCCTGGGGAGGCGCCCAGGACGCGCATAGGGCCCTCGGCGAGGGGCCCCCCCGAAGGGCCCCCACGAGGCCCCCAGGGAGCATCCGCCCTTAAAAAAAGGCACCCCCCCTTCCCTCGGGGGGAAAGGAGGGGGGAGGAGGAGGAGGAGCAGGAGGAGCAGGAGGAGGAGGAGCAGGAGGAGGATTCTGCTGCCCCCACCATACGCACACAACAACAACAACAACAACAACAACAACAACAACAACAACAACAACAACAACAACAACAACAACAACAACAACAACAACAACAACAACAATCATTTAAGACTGGGGACACTCCGTTCTCACCAGTGCCAGGGTTTTCATAGGAGGCGGGCAATACCCCCACTTTGTGGGGGGGCCGGTTCAAGCTCTACCAAATTTCCAAACGACTCTTCGCCACCACCCACACCCAGCTTCCCGCCCTATGACGTTCGGACACTTCACTTCGTGGCATGCGGACGACCGTGGCTACTATTCAGGGCCCCGCGGCCGACGACGACGGCGTGCGCGCGCGAAGAAAAAACGAATGTGTCCCGCATGGTATTATTTGACAGGGATGATGGCCCTGGCAGGTGCGCAACCGTTGTCGCAGAAGTTCGAAAAAGTTGCTCGCAAAAGCCCGTTTGACAGAAATGTTTAAAAAGTGTTGGGTTTCCTACGAATCCGCAAGAGCGCGCGGGATGAGATTTTGACATTTTTTTGTTGAAAAACCATTGGTTTTTTGATGTTTTTATGTTAAAATCGCTGCGAACACTAAGGTTTTGGAAGGATTTCGTCTTGCGCGCGCGAATGTCCACTTTACCTTATTTTTTGCAAGGGATTCTTGAAATTTGATTATATTAGAACAAGAAATGTCATTTTCTATTGTTTTTTGCAAGGGAAAGCGGATTACAACAAAACAACCGGATCCTGTACACACCCTCTTTTCTGAGGCTTCCTCACGAAAATGATGAAAATGTAGCTGCGGCCTAGGCGGCGCAGGGGGGGCGCGCACCAGGGGGCCCAACAATAATTATTCTTTAGAATAAATAATGTTCAACAACAACAACAATTACTAGCACGTGGGGACACTCCGTTCTCACCAGTGCCAGGGTTTTCATAGGAGGCGGGCAATACCCCCACTTTGTGGGGGGGCCGGTTCAAGCTCTACCAAATTTCCAA